CTAATGGCATTGATCAATAGAACAGTGTAATGCCTTGTCAATAATTCGCTATCTGCAAAGGATCGATGTATTATTCTCCATTTTAATATTCTTTAAAAAGGTAGATTCAACAGAAGTAGCGCCTAAATTTTTTATCTAGTAATGTTGTAGCGGGCGTGCTTGATAAATTGCTTGTAGGAAGTTATGGAGTAAATATGTATCTTCCAAAATTAGTATCTTTGATTGGCAACTATTACTTAATAGGTTGCCAGCAAAAGATAATTTATTGAGGAGAGGTGTGTGCTTTAATGAGGGTGAATTGAAATTTGTTTTATGTAATGAGGAGTTGGAGTGTCGTGAACATCTGTTCTGTGGGTACAGGCGGGCTTGGGTCATTTGGATGAGGATACTGGATTGACGGGGAGTGGAAAGGGTATTGCCAAGAGAAGTACCTGCGTTGGCATTTTATTTGTTGGGTGGAGTAGGGCTAGGAGGAATTATGGATGTAGGGGCATTAATTTATTTGTTGGTTTGCTGGAGTGTGCGGATGTGGCGAAATTCAAAACTCTGTGTTAGTAAAGTAGATTTGGAGCATAGGCTTTTGGATTTTATTCAGACTAATTAAGACTTTTCATTGGATTAAAGGTATCATGACTGGTGTGTTTAACCAAGGTTGGATGCTACATCAATTAAGCAGTACATAATTAAGGAGTACAGCGAGAATGTGAAACATTTCGTAAGAATTTTGCAGGCTCTAAAGTGGCTGATTAGTTTTAGTTGTGTTGTTGAGGTTTTATTGGTTTCAATTCTTCATATCTATTGATGTATTGATTTTGTAATGGCTTGGAGTAGTTTTTGTACTCTTTTATAACAACAAATTTTAAGGTAGATACTATATTTACTCCCAAACCTATAGTGTAATATTAAAGATTGTCCAAGTCTTTTATTTAGACAAGAAATGATCCCTAGCTTTTTCCATTAATTACTTCCTTAAGTCTCTAATGAAAATCCTAATTGAAATTTTATGAGACCCATCCAAATCCCATAACATATCAAGGGCTAACCTGTATACCTTTACAATTTCTAGAAATGATTCCTGAGACAGGGATTGTGTTAATCCAAAGAGAAAAATGAAACAGAGATTTGAAATTGCAATTGACAAAAAAAATATATATATATATATATTTAATTAAATCTCAAAAATTTGGGGTTTGGCAGGTTTTTCTCTCTATTTTAATTAAGGATCCTAAGGGATTTTATGAAATTCTAATTAGAATTTGTGTTAGAGACTTAGCCAAAGGTAGGATTAGACTTGGTGATTTTAGAAAATATTGGGATCATTTTTGGCCTAAACAAAAGATTGAGACAATATCAAATATTTATGGATGATTCAAAAAAAATCTGATATTTATGGTAAAGGTTAGTACTAAATTCGATATTTACCAAAATTTAGGTGATAAAAAAAGGTTAAACCCCCAATTTGATTCATGAACTATTGTACAACCCTCGATTTGGTTCTTGAACTAAAAAATCTTGACTTGGTTCTTAAACTATTGTACGGACCCTCAATTTGGTCTCTGAACTATTGTACGGAACCACAATTTGGTCCCTACTTTTTACCAATTTGCTTAAAGTTGGTCTTTTCGTACAAAAAACAGTTGACGTATCTGTTACTTAACTACAAAAAACAATAACTTAACAACGAAAAATAGTAACTTAACGGCCACGTGTTATGTTAATAACAAAACACGTCAATCGATTTTTGTACGGAAAGACCAACTTAAGGTAAATTGGTAAATAGTATAAACTAAATCGAGAATTCGTACAATAGTTTAGGGACTAAATTGAGGATCCATACAATAGTTCATGAACCAAATTAAGGATTTAACCTAATTAAAAAAACTTAAAAATAAATAAAAACGTAAATATTGAATCTTAGATACTATAGTTGAGGTCAATTACCAACAAATTCTTGTTGAAGGTTGAAGGTTTCAACCTCATACTTTATATTGCAAAATTTTTAACCCTCGAATTTGAAAGTTTGAAAATTTTCATCTCTAGACTAATAAAATCCATTAACTCTTCATTAAAGTGAGAATAAAATTTTGGACAATAATTGGTGCATACTTGGATCCAACACCCGGGTGTGCACCCCCACTTAAAAAAAAAAAAAATTGGACCGGGTGATGGGCTTTTTTTTTTTTTTATATGATGTGTGCACACCCGGGTGTTGAATCCGGGTGTGCACACATCATTTTCCTAAAATTTTATATGATTAGTTCTTAAAAATTAAAAATGTAACAATTTAGTTTCAAAAGTTTAAAATTAAAAAAATAATAGTAAATTAAAAATAATTAGTGGATGACTTTACCATATAAATAAAAACAATATTAGATATGTATAATCAAATTGAGCTATTAACTCAATCTGAAAAAAAAAAAAAAAATCTAACTAAGATTAAAGAAAATTTTTTAATTGTATTTTTCTAGTCTTTTGTACTTCTATCTTAATTTAACCAAAAAAATTTATTTAATTTTAGTTAGAATTCTTTTTTCAAATTAAGTTAATTGCTCAATTTGATTATAAATATCTAATACTATTATTGTGTATATGAGAAAATCATCCACTAATTATTTTTAGTTTGCTAATTTTTTTTATTTTTAAACTTTTAGAAATAAATTGTTACATTTTTAATTTTTAAAAACTAATTTTGTAAATGTTTTATTTTCATTTTAATGGAGAGTTAACGTATTTTGTTAATTTAGAAACTAATATATTTAAACTTTTAAATTTATAAATTAAAAATTTCATAATAAAAGATAAAAAACTAAATATATATTTTAGCTTGTTGATAAAAATATATATATTAGCTAAAACTTAAAAATTTTAATTTAGAGTCAATTTAAAAACTTTAGTTTGAAATCAATTTTAAGATTCAGATATTATTTTGACACGTCAAGATCAAAAATAAAAGCAAATATTTATTTTAATTAAAAAAAGACGGCGAAACCTTGAAAAGTAGGAGCCCTTTCTTTATCCTCAAACCTATACACAGAAAACGACTTCGTCAATATCTCCCAAGCATCTTTTGCTGAAGAGGTAGTATTTATCGCGCTGAAAGCTTCTGTTCCACAAGAAATTTTAATTGCATGTAGAGCTGCATCATTCTTTCTTGTCCGCTCCCCACTTGAACCTAGAACAGGCAGCTCTTCTCCGGATACAATATCCCAAAGACCTTCACTGGATAAATAGCTTTTCATTTGAACACTCCAAGTTTTATAATTATTTTCGGTAAGAAGTTCAGAGACAATCATGTTGGGGTACGTGGTCGTACTTCCATATTGATCTCGCTAAACACGAAGATGTAAAAAATCAATCGTTAGATCTTTCAGTGTGTTTGATATTTATCAAATGACGAATAGAAAATTAAAGACAACAGATATCATATTTTAAATTAATTCCACGCACTAAAAATAAAATTCCATGGTACAATTAGGAGGCCTTTTTTTTTTTTTTTTTCTTTTTTACCATGACTAGGTTAGGACAGAAACTGGATTGCGTTCTTTAAGATTGGAGAATTTAATTTGATTATAAATTAAAACAAATCACTCCATAAACAAATTCAAATACCAAGCAGAATTTATTAAAGTCTTTTATTCATTAACTTAATGTTTTATTAAGTTTCATTTATTTCAATTTAAACTTTTTATTGAAATTATTAATTTATACTTAATGAATAAACATAAGAAAGAATTTTATTAAAGATATTTTAATAATTTTAGTACTAAAACTGTATTTTTAATATGTAATTTTACTTGAAAAACATTTTTTGTCTTTTACTTAAATTATTAGGCCTTTCTTCATCTTTATTATTGACAAAAGGGTTAGGTTTAAGGTAAAAAGAAAAATTAGGAGATTTTTGACACTTTAAATATCTGAAAATATTCTTAATAAATTAAGAAACAAAACAAATTATTAAAAATAGGTAAAACCCTAAATCCATTCCTAAAAAAAAGAATGGGTAAGGATAGATCTACCCTTAAAAAAAATATAAAAATAAATTATTCATTCAAATTATAAATCAAAATAAATTACCTATTTTTTAAAAAATTTTATCAACTTTTTATTAAAAAATACTTACATGATAAATAAAATCCATTAAAAAAATAATTTATTTTAATTTATAATTTTAAAAAATAATTTATCCCTGCATTTTTTTTTTTTAAGATGAATTTATCTTTACTCACTTTCTTGAAAGGTGAATTTGAAGATTTTATTTTAAAAATATTTGAACAATTTCACAAAAGTACAAAGTCTTAATTTTCACCTTTTTTATAAATATAATTAATTTTTTATTTTTATTAGTTAAAGACCCGTGAAATCACAATTAAAACATGCTAAGACAGCAAAAGATGATCAGAAACTTAAGTTAAAGCCTTAAAGGAGACCCAATCCAAGGCATACAATGAAGACAAACAAACCGAACCAGAAACTTTAGAATTCTTCCCCTCTTTTTTTTTTTTTTAAGTCCAAAAACCAGAAACTCTTGAAACAATGTGACCCGAAAATTTTTTAAAAAAAAGAGTATTAAAATGCTGCAAATAACCGATCATGAACAGATATCCTTTTTCTTTGGTAAAAATGAACAGATATCCGAATCGCACAAAATAATAGCAGATCAGAACATTTAAAAAATGGAAAAATAAAACATAGGGGCAGATTCATGGGGCCAGGGGTTCTGGGTAGCCCATTTTGGGTAGTTCGGAAGCAAAGCCACTACATATTAGCCCTATGCTCTCTGATATTAGAGATATACCTGGAGGAGAACAGCGGAAATCAGCAAAATGATCACCGGATAATCGCCCAGAAGGCACCGAAACTAGTCCGGAACTCTCCCTAAGCCCTCTCTGCTGCTGCTTTTCTTTTCTTCTTTTTTCTTTGTTTTCTTTCGGCTTTCTTCCCAAACGGCCCCTTAAAAATTCTCTCCCTACGGTCACAAAAAGAAACCATAGGATTTTTCTACCTGTTTTCATCCTCACCGTTCCTTTCCCTCATAATCTCCACCATTGATTCAAACGGGTCAAAAGTCGCCCCCTGCTTTTTCCGACAGCGACTGCCTTATCTGCAGCACGGACTAGTGTAGCAGGACAAATTTCTGGGGTTCATTTCCGGGGCATCCGGACGGCAGCAGTATGTTATGTAGATAAGGTTCCATTTGCGACAGCAGTTTAGACGAAATAATTAGTTTTAACAGATTAAAATTACTTACATATTAATTGAAAGAATGGAGAGAAGGATTTTTTAGAACTCAAATACAACTCATAAGAGGTAAATAATTTTAACCCATCATTTATATCATTGGGTGAGAACGAGTCGTTCCAGTGGTTTTGAGTTTTTGAGATATTAAAAATAAATATTTGATAAATTTATTTATTTTAAAATTATTATAAATTATATATGTATTAAAAATTTTTATTTAGCAATTAAGATTTAAATGTTAGTGAATTAAAAAAATATAACTTAAACTACTAGTAAATTAAAATTTTTTAATTTTATTTACAAATTTTTTTTAATTTTTTAATTTTTGCTACAATAGTTAATTAGTATTTATCTAATTTGTTATAACTTGTTTTCTTTAATACTCCCCTTGTCTATTTTTAATAAATCTAATTTAACTTTTTAACTTTTTAATTTTTCATATATAAATTTTAAGTGAATATTTAACATTTTATATATATGATAATTGAAAAGATTTTTTATTTTTATATAAAAGTTCTCATTGAGTACAGATGTTAAATTTTCATTTGAAATTTACGTCTAAAAAGTAAAAAAAACATCAAAATGAATCTACTAAAAATGAATGGGAGGAATATCATTAAGTGACTATTATATTTCTATTTTCTACATTAACTTATCATAAAAAAAAATGTATTCACTTAATAAATGAAATTTGTTAATTAGAAGAAATGCCCAAAATTTTGTTTTTTATTCAAACTTTTATACTTTTTTTTTATTGAAAATAGACATAATTGTGTGATCCACACTTTTATATATTATTATTATTATAAAATTAATAATTTTAATAAAAATATTAAAAAGTAAAAATTATACTTAATTATTTTTAAATATGACTTTTTAGTCATTTAAGGTTAGACAGTAACCACTAATCATAATATAACGAAATGGTTATATCAATCATAATCTGTTATTTATTATATGTTATTTACTATCTATTATTCACTTTTTATTATCAGTTATCCATTAATTCTTATCCATTAATTGTCATTTACTACCCACTACTAAAATCCATTATTCATTATCCACCGTCTGCTAGATTTTAACTATCATACTAAACAAACCTAAAATGAAAGATAGGCAAATAATAATAATAATAATAATAATAAAGAAAAAGCAATTAGAGCTTGATAAATTTCTCGAAGAAAAATATAAGAGAAACCTAGTCGAAATTGAAAAAATGATTTTCGATATATTTTTCAATGTAATGGATTTGAAATCAAAAAATTACAGGCGATTTCTCAAGAAGATTTCAAAGGATAGTAGATAATGAAGAAAATAACAATTTATAGACAATTCTCAAATGGACAATACAGCCTCCAGTTACTAGCTAGTAACCTACACCAAAACCACAACAAGACATGAATATAACAGCAACGCGTGCTAGTGAAATTAATCCTATGTGGCTACCAAGTCAACATCAATTCCCACATCAGCTCAAGATTCTCTCACATATCAGCATGGGGGCCACTTGTGCAAAACAGTTCCCTAAACCTATCAGGTGCCGTCTATGGTAAGTAAAGAGTTGTAGATGTAATTATTAGGAATAAGTTAAAATCTCATTTTAATCCTTCTATTTCGGCCAAAAAAAACTCCTTTCTAGTCCCTCAACTTAAAAAAATACTTTTTTGTCCCTCTACTCTAGTAGTAAGCCCATTTTTGGTTCTCTATTTTTAAACAAGTCCTTTTTTAGTCCTTCTATTTTGAAATTTCAATTAAGGTAACATGTCACAAGATAAAATTTTAACAAATGGACTAAAAAGATGCTAGATTTCAAACTTTAGTCACTAAAAAGAAATTTTTTTAAGTAAAAAAATTCAAAAAAAACTTTTTATTAAAAAAAAACAAAAGTAAAGTTTTAACTTTAGGGGTAAAATAATTCTGTAAACTCCTTTTAAAAATAATAATTTCACCTCTTTACAAGTAACGTTATCCCTAACTTACAACACTCACTCATAGAATTTCATTCACCAAAGCCAGTAGACTAAAATTTAAAAGCAAAGTCTAGAAACTGAAGAAAGATAACAACGAAAAAACTAAAATCAAAAAGGAAAATGCTCCTGTTTATGGAGCTGTTTTTGTACGCCAATTCAGAACAAATGTAACTCTTCTAAAAATTCTAACTTTTCCTGTATCTGGTGTTTATATAAGAAGCTTTAAAACATCTTGCAACCATTTTGTTAATTTCAAATTTAAGGTTGAATTTTAAAAATATTTTCAAACAATTGGTAAAATAGTTTCTAAACTGTTTTCAACTATTAAAAAAAACTGTTTTCAATCATTCTTTTTTTTATTTGGTACTTTTGTTTTTAGACAATGATAAATCCACATACTGATTTAATATATTATATAAAATATTTATTAAAAAAATCATTATTTTGTGACATAAAACTAAAGTAAATAAATTAAAAAATACAATCATGCATAAAAAAATATAAGAATTAATTAAATTGATTATATTTAAATTATATTTTAATAATTAAATTAAAATAAACATAAAAAAACTAAATATATACCCATCAATAATAGTTGACTTTTCTTTTGTTTTTAATATTATTTTTAAGTAAAAATCCTTCTTAAGCCTTCAAACTTATAACAAAATAACATTTAAATATGAAATAGATAAACTATCTATCTCCATTAACAATGTAAATAAACCCTTCTCATACATGGGTATTCATGCTTTGAAGGTGATATTAAATATGAAATACCATTTGTTTCTTTTGTGAAAAGGATTTATTTGCATTATTAGTGAAATTAGAGGGTTTAATTGCTTTATTTTTAATTTAAGGTCTTAAATGTTATTTTAAAATAAATTTGAGACCTTCAAAAGAGTTTTTATCTGACTTTCATGACTCAACTATCTGTCTCTACACGCGCACAGCGCCAGTTGCGTTGGATACGGAGCAATTTCACCAAGTCTAGGACTTGGAGGAATTCTAGAATATCACAGTGATACCACTCACGTGGTATCCCGCTCCAATAAAAATACAACAGCTCAGCTCCCTTAATACACGTCATAAAAATGCAACGGGAGATGAAAATCCACCTCCGTACATTAAACGGTGATAAGTCGTCCACGTGCGAAAAATCACTTTCAATAAAATTTTTCTTCCCGCCTTCCCCGCCTTTCTCAATTTATTTTCTTTCTTCTCTTTTTTTTCTTGCCATTATTTTCTCTCCTTTTACTCCTCTGCTTTAAGATTTGTTTGTATTATAAAAATCAAATGATTCAAAATTAATCGAAACTTGGAGCTAGTAATGCTTTGTCTTCTTCCTCCCCTGACAATCAATTCTGAATTTAATAATTTGATAGTTTTTCTCTTGTAAAAAATCCTTTTTGAGCAGAAGACATTTTATTTAATTATTTATTACTTTTTTTTGTTTCAAAATAACAGATTTATTTTTTTAAAAATAATATAAATATAAATATAAATTATCTCTAAATTATTTATATAAACATAAAATTAAATTGCAATTATCATTATAAAATGGAAGGAGTATTATTTTTATGGGTTATGAAACAAAATTTTAGAACTAAATATATATTAACCTTGGTTGTAACGTAGGTCCATTTATGTCTTTATCAATGGCTTGGTAGCCTTGGTTACAGCATTTTCTACCAGAATACTCATTCTTTCACTTGAAATTTTTATAAAATCTATTCCCTTATAGTTATGTGTAATCTGCTAATCTAACATCTCCACCTCAACCACAAAAGAAAGGAAAACCCAATTATTAGGATCCTTGTACTGAAATTTGCACTTAACAAGTTTTAGTATATAGATGTTTGCATTTATTAGCTTCAGTTATTTGAAGCAAAAGTGTTCCAATTTATTATAATTTGAAATGATAAATGAAAAAAACGCACATTGAGTAATATAATTCATGATATAGGATCAAATAAGATGAAATGTTATTAATGGTAAATTGTACTTTGTTCATTTGAACCAAAAACAAATTGATCCCCCAAGCAACAATAAAATAAAAAAGAAAAAGCTCAATGGCTACATAGATCTATTTCACAATTTGCAGCAACTATCATTTAAGTTACTAGTACTCTAAAATTATGGATTGTTCTATCATAAAAAACAAGTCTCAAGCCTCTACGAGAAAGAGAAAGGATCTATGTTCATTGGAGATGATCTTGTACCTACTTCAAGAGTCTCTTTGGAATTGCATAACACCTTGGCACAAGTCTTAGTCAGATTCTCTCCTTTAATTAGAACAACTTTGTGTAAACCTTAATTTACAACAATGAGAGGCAGTAGATTTGATGGACTTCAGCAAATTGCATCAGACTTCCCAAGTTCTGAACCTTTATCTACGACCTGGCAAAAGAAAGCATTAAGCATGATTAAATAATAAATGAATGGATAAATGAAAAATGAAATTGGAATATACAATAACATCAATATGCAAGACATTGTTGTTTTGATCGAAGTCAACCTCAACAATCCGTGAAATAATTAAATCAATCCCCTGCTTTTTTTTTCATCTATATATACTTGGAAATGTATTATATTCTTATTCAGTAGCGAGAGAGCTAGAGCAGCAAATAGGACAAAACACAAGAAATTAACATAAAATATGAATCTTGGCGACTAAAAACTGGGAATT